AACCGATGACACTGTAAGTGAAAAACCACCTTAACCACAGCTGCGGTTGGGCACCAACCACTGCCCCACAACTGATACCTTGAGGTGTGCACCAACCACTGCCCTTGACGGTACCTGTGTGAACCTCTACAGTACGCAGTGTCCCCTAACCGATGACACTGTAAGTGAAAAACCACCTTAAGCACAGTTGCGGTTGGGCACCGACCACTGCCCCACAACTGGTACCTTGAGGTGTGCACCAACCACTGCCCTTGATGGTACCTGTGATGAAAATCGGAACAGACTCTAACACCCACACCAGGCAAAAGTAGGGCTGGGCCGGCAACCGGCTGGTTCAGCTTGCCCGGTTGAATCGGAGCCGGACCAGCCCCGGGGGGCTGAACCGGGAAACCGGTTTTCAAAAAATAAAGCCTAATTCTCTTTTTTTTTTTTTTTTTTTTTTTTTTTTGGCGGATTCTGACTGCGCTCTTTAAGAGCTGTCGAAATCCGTAATAAAAATTTGAAGGTCCAATTTCGCTTTGGGGGTGCCCCAGGGGCAGGTGGGGGTATTATTGGGATATTAACGGAGGTGTCACTTTCAGGGGGGGGGTCGAGTAAGCAATGTTACTTATCCGACCCCCCGCGGCCCAAGAACTTCAATTCAGTAGCAGAGGGCACTCTGGACTATGCCAACGGCCGTTGGAGTCCTGCAGCCTGAATGAGATGTAATAGGAGTGGATCCTTGCCAAAAGCTATAGCTTTTCCAGAGTATAGCTCGACGGCCAAAAAGTTATGGGTGCAGGTTTCAGCTCGTGCAGGCAGAGCACTTTTTTGTTTTAAATACGCTGGGTCATCAGTGTCCTCAGTGCGAACGTATCTCGCCTGCTAGTCTGTCCAGACACATGTAGTGGAGCCACGTGCATTCTAGATAGATTGACAGAAAAATATAGCTTAGGTCCATTCTTGGGCTTGCACCTCCAACAGAGCCGAAACCCAAACCCATAACTCTTTCCCCATAGCTTAGTGATGTTGCAGAAGCATATAACCTCAGGAGAGCCACAGCTCTTGCAAAGTAAATCCCTCGTGGCTGAGGATGGACGAGTGTGTCATGCCAATGACAACTGCTCCGTGGTCTGTCGGACCACGCTATGCCAAATCGAAATATGGGGCCTGGTGGCCCCCCAATTTTTGAGAAAACGCACGCGGCAGTTGTTCCCCGCTGATCTGCAAAGATAAGCGGCGGAGATCCTCCGCTCATTGTTTTCAAGAACTAGGGCCCAAAAAGCCCCATTTTTTTTTTTTTTGGAGCCCGCGGCCGCGTGGGGGCTGGGCAGTCGCGGGGATACCTGTCACTGCCCGGTACCCCTCGTCCAGCCTGATGTGCTGGATTCAACCGGGGGTCTGCGGGGCTGGTCGACCGGCCGGTCCGACCTGCAGGCTTCCGGGCGGGGGAGGGGCTCCCGGGTGGGGGAGGGGCCCCCGGTCCAACCGGAAACAGCCCTGGGGAAAAGACTATACAGGGTGTTTGTTCACACCCCATCATAACCCAGCAAACCCCCCGTGAAATGAAGAACCGTCTGCACCAGAGTTCGGACAAAATGCTGGAACTAGACGCACAACATGGCCACCTAGCGATGGCCCTGCCCACTGCAGCTCAACCTGACTGGAACTACACACACACAAGCGTATTGCCACTGCAGCTCTGTGTGTGTGTGTGTGTGTGTGTGTGTGTGTGTGTGTGTGTGTGTGTGTGTGTGTGTGTGTGTGTGTGTG